CACACTTGCCTTGTTCCTGTTCTCAGAGGGATGGCTTTCAGTTTTTCCCCATTGAGTGTGATCTTGGCTGTGGGTTTGTCATATATGGCCTTTATTATGTTGAGGGACTTTCCTTCTATACCCATTTTATTGAGAGGTGTTTTTTTTTTTTTTATCATAAATGGCTGTTGGATCTTGTCAAATGCTTTCTCTGTGTCTATTGAGATGATCATGTGGTTTTTGTTCCTCATTTTGTTAATGTGGTGTATCACGTTGATTGACTTGTGGATGTTGACCAATCCCTGTGTCCCTGGTATAAATCCCACTTGATCATGGTGTATGATTTTTTAACGTATTGCTATATTCGGTTTGCCAATTCTTTATTGAGGATTTTTGCATCTATGTTCATCAGTGATATTGACCTGTAGTTTTCCTTCTTTGTGTCGTCCTTGTCAGGTTTGGGGATCAGGGTGATGTTGGCTTCATAGAATGTATTAGGGAGTGCTCCATCTTCCTCTATTTTCTGGAACAGTTTGAGAAGGATAGGTATTAAACCTTCTTTGAATGTTTGGTAGAATTCTCCAGAGAAGCCGTCTGGTCCTGGACTTTTATTTTTGGGGAGGTTTTTGATTACTATTTCAATCTCTTTACTTGTGATTGGTCTATTCAGATTCTCTCTTTCTTCCTGATTCAGTTTGGGAGGTTGTATGAGACTAAGAATTTATCCATTTCTTCTAGGTTGTCCAGTTTGTTGGCATATAGTTTTTCATAGTATTCTCTTAGAATCTTTTGTATTTCTGTGGTATCTGTTGTGACTTCTCCTCTTTCATTTATGATTTTATTTATTTTAGTCTTTTTTTGTTAGCCTGGCTAAGGGTTTCTCAATTTTGTTTATTTTCTCAGAGAACCAGCTCTTTGTTTCATTGATCCTTTCTACTGTCTTTTTTGTTTCAATATTGTTTATTTCTGCACTAATTTTTATTATTTCCCTTCTTCTACTGACTTTAGGCTTTGTTTTTTCTTCTTTTTCTAATTCTGTTAGGTGTAGTTTGAGATTGCTTATTTGAGATTTTTCTTGTTTGTTGAGGTGAGCCTGTATTTTGATGAATTTCCCTCCTAGGATCACTTTTGCTGCATCCCAAATGAGTTGGTATGGCGTGTTTTCATTTTCATTTGTCTCCAGATAATATTTGATTTCTCCTTTAATTTCTTCAATGATCCACTGGTTGTTCGGTAGCGTGTTGTTCAATCTCCACATCTTTGCCCCTTTCCCAGCTTTATTCTTGTAATTGATTTCTAGTTTCATAGCGTTATGGTCGGAAGAGATGCTTGATATTATTTCGATCCTCTTAAATTTGTTGAGGCTTGCTTTGTTTCCCAACATACGGTCTATCCTTGAGAATGTTCCATGCGCACCTGAGAGAAGTATAACCTGCTGTTTTTGAATGGAGTGTTCTCTGTAGATCTATTAAGTCCATCTGGTCTAGTTTCTCATTTAATTCTACAATTTCCTTCTTGACTTTCAGTCTGGATGATCTATGCATTGGTGTTAGTGGGGTGTTGAGGTCCCCTACTATTACTGTATTGTTGTTGATATCTCTTTTTAGTTTTGTTAATAGTTGCTTTACAAAATTTGGTGCTCCTGTGTTGGGTGCATATATATTTATAAGTGACCTCAATAAAATTTTTCAAAGATTTTTATGAAAAAATGTTATTGGAACAAGAACTAGCATTTATGTTTATTGTATAAAATAGATATTGTCTAAAGTTCATCAATCAAGAAAAAGAAATGCAGGATGTTGTCTGCATTATGGAGATGAATACCATAGGAATGAAAAAAGAAATGGCTGAAGACATCACCTCTGAGACCTGGAACTGCCGGTGGGAGAGGCGCAGGCTGCTCCTCTCATTAGCTCTTCTCCTGTTTGCTTTATTACCCTGTGGGTGCAGAAACATTTCCTGCTGTCCTGTCCTGTACCGGGAAGACGCAGCCTCGGGTCCTGCGTCTCCCAGACACACCTCCCTCATCTGCCGCAACCACCTGCCACTTGCTGAGCTTCACGCCCTTCCGCTGGCCCTTAAGGAACTTGGATGCAGTGGCAGCAAACTCCATCACGACAGACATTTATTATAACCTACATAATAAAGCCAGAATCCACGAATCTAACTGATAGAAATGCAAACAAGGAGCTATGTTTTACCTATGGCTGGGAGGTTGGGAGGGGGAATGGGGAGTGACTGCTAATGGGTACAGGGTGTCTTTTTGGAGTGACACAAATGTTAAAATTAAATTGTGATGATGGTTGCACAACTCCATGAATACTAAATATTATTGTTTGTATACCAAAAACCACTGGGTTGTGTGCTTTCAATGGTAAAATATATGTTTAAAAAAATCTATGAATCCACACTGGTATACAAAAATGAATAGATAAATGATGGAGGGAGAAGAAAAACCCTTATAGTGGAATGCCAAACAATAAATATAAAAGAAATGATGGAATTAGAAAAATCACCACTTGGCAACCATTTTAGTCTAAAGTGGTTCCGACACAAATCATCCAAGGATGTTAAAACTAGAGAGTGAGAGTTTGCGAAGTAACAGAGTATTTACATAGTTTCAAAGTATCTCCCTACAGATACTTATCAGTGGCAAATAGTAAAAACGGTAAGTTTTGCTACTACTAACAAAAGCAACAGTGGAGAAAGCTGGCAGACAGCACCTTAACTAAGTGGCCCAGGTTAACACTGCCAGAGATGGGACACACAGCGGGTGCCCGACAGGTCACAGTCACTCAGCATCCCTCCCGTGGTCTTCCAGCAAAAGCGCATCCCCTGGGTCTAACCACGAGGAAAAATGTCTCCCCTGTACACTTCAAAAATGTGAGTGTCTTAATACAAAGAATGACTAGAGAAACACGGCCACCGAGGGTGGATTTGCTATAAAGGACACTGTTGAGACTATTCGCAAAGTCTGAGTAAGGTCTGTTGATTAGATCATAGGTTTGTAGCAATGTTGACCTTTTTGTGTGTTTATTTTTTTAAGACTTTATTTTCTTTAAAGCAGTTTTAGCTTCTTGATTTTGACAGTTGTATTGTGGTTACAGAAAACATCTCTGTTTTTAGGAAATACACACTGAAGTCTTTAGGGATAAATGGACATCCTGTCTGCAACTTACTGTCAACCATTCAGAAAAACTAGATGGATAGATGACAGATAAATAGATGATGGATACTTAGATCGGTATTATATGTAGAGAGAGAGACACAGACAGAGACAGAGAAGCACAAAGCAAATGTAATAAAAATCTAACGTTTGGAAAAGCTGGTTGTAGCGCATCTGGGAATTCTTTGTACTCTTCTTGCCACTTTTCTGACAGTCAGAAATCATGTCAAAAATCTTTTTAAATTTTTCTTTTTTTGGTCCTTGGGCTGCCATAACAAACTACCACAAACACGGATGGCTTAAAACACGTAAATTTGCTGTCTCTCGCTTCTGGCGGTGTCAGCAGGACCTTGCTCCTTCCGAAGGCTCCGGGGAGGGTCTTTCTGCCCCTCCAGCTCCTGGTGGTGCTGGCAGCGCTTGCCTTGGCCACGGACTCCATCTTTGTCTCTGTCTTCACATGGCCTCCTCCTCTCCGTGGGCCCACGTCCATTTCTGTTTTTATGAAGACACCAGTCATACTGGGTTTAGCACTCCCGTCCCTTACCCAGTGTGACCTCATCTTCAGTTGATTATATCCTCAGAGACCCTATTTGCAAATAAGGTCCCACTCACAGTTTCCAGGGGCTGGTAAAAGTCTAACATTTGAGAATCTGGGAATCCTTACACTATTCTTGCCACTTTTGTGACACAGTCTGAAGTGATGCCAAGATAAAATAATTCAGAGCATAGTCAAAACCTCCGCAGCAGGAAACCCTCCAAGAGTGTCCCCTCCCCGAGGCTAAAGCCCAGATGCCCCTGGCCTGCAGGCCCTCAGGAGCCTCCCCTGCCCCGCCCTGACCCCCCCCCCCAACTTTAACCACGTCACCTTCCCACCTTCCTCTAGCCCCCTGAGCTTGTTCCTGCCCCCGCACTTCTCATGGCTGCAGCTTTCCTCCCCCAGAGCAAGACTTGGCTCCTCAGGCCGCACCAGTGCCTGTCCAGAGGACTTCTCACCGCCTCATCTAAGACTGGCTCCCATTCCCGTCTCTTCCCACGTTGCCGGCTTGGTCGCTCCTCACATCAGTTCTCATTCGTGGAAATTTTATTATAAAATGACAGTGTGGTTGAGCCTGTCGGCCGGAATGGGAACAGCGCAGCGGTGGGGCCCGGTTTGTCTGGATTCCCGCTGTTTCAGGGCTGGTACAAAGGCGGGCCCGTGGCGCGGGCTTGCTAAGTAATTGAGGATGAAGCGGAAGCACAAGGTGCTTGGTAAATACCTCTGCGCCTCCCTGTGCCCGGCCTGGCGACACCTCCCTCCACTGCCAGTCACTCCAGGTGCCTGAGAAACTCAGGGGTCAGGGGTCCTCCCTTCCGCCGCAGTCACCTCGAGATATGGGCTCCTTACAAGTCAAGAGCACGTGGGTTTGGAATACTGTGAGCTCCGGCCCTCCCAGGGCCTCGGGCACTGTCCTCCCGCAGCCCCTGGGGTCCGGTTGATGGGGAGAGCCTGCGTGACATCTCTGTTCTAGGCGGCTCTGGACTTCAGGCTCAGGGCCTTCCCTGCCCCGGGGCAGCGGTCACCGGGCCAGCAGACAGGGAGCTCCGATGGCGAGGCACTGAGTATTCCGGGCACCTGCAAGCCCAGGGCCTGAAGTGAGTCGTGCTAAGCCGCTGCAGGGCCGGTCCTTCCTGTCCTACCGGTCCTTCTCCGGAGGCCACACGCTTTAAAACTCATCAGTAAGGGGCAGGCAGGTGGCCCAGCAGTTAATTGCATACATTCAGCTTCCGTGGCCCGGTTTGCCAGTTCAGATCCCACGTGGGGATGTGGCATCGCTTGGCAAGCCATGCTGTGGCAGGCGTCCCATTTATAAAGCAGAGGAAGATGAGTACGGATGTTAGCTCAGGGCCAGTCTTCCTCAGCAAAAAGAGGAGGATTGGCAGCAGATGTTAGCTCAGGGCTAATCTTCCTCAAAAAGAAAAAAAACCTCATGAATAAATATTCATTACGCTCCGCAGAGAGAGCAGGTAACCCTCAGGACGCCGGGTACAGAGCGGTGGCACCAGGCCAGGACTTCGCGGGTCCGGCGGGGTGCGGGGGCGGGCGGTAGTGTTGATAGGGCCAGGGTCCCGGGGGAGCGGAGAGGGGAAGCATGGGTCCGGGTCGGGAGAAGAGGCCGTCAGGGGTCCGGAAGGTTGGGGGAGAGAAGAGGGGGATGGGGGCCCCTGGTTGCGTCAATGGAGAGTGGGGCATGGGGGCGGGGCCGTGGGGGTGGGGTGGAGGCGGGGTCCCGGGGGCAGATTGGGGATCTGGGGGCGGGCAGGGTTCCAAAGTAACCCGGGCGGGGTCCAGGGGTTGTTATGGGCTGGGGGGCGGGGCGGCCGGCAGCTGGGCAGAGGGGCGCGGCAGGCGGGGGTGGGGCAGCTCGGGGGCGGGACGAGAGCTGCGGCGGGCAGGGCGCTCAGCATCCCGGGATTGGCCGGCGCCGACCCTCCGCCCCCGTATTTCGGCCAATCGCCTTCCGCCCTGTCTCGGCCGCTGGGTCCCCGCCAGGCCGGCGGGTCCGGGGGTCTTTTCTCTGCCCGCAACTGTTGAGGGTTCAGCTCCCCGCGCCCGGACGCGCCAGGCCCGCCCCTTTCCAGCGTGTCTGTCCAGGTGAGCACCCCTGGGCCGAGACCCACGCCGTCCTGGGCGGAGGAGTCGGGCTGGGGTCCGGCCGTGGGTTCCCGGGTCGCCCCACTCCTCCCCCGGAGTTGCATCATCTGCCTGTGGACGCCGCGGAGCTGAGCCGGCGCCCCCCGCGCCCCGGACCCTCCCCCTCCAGCGCATCCAGATGGTCCTGAAGCCGGAGGTTCAGCGCCCACGTGGCCCCGGCCCCGACTCCAACCCCCGCGGCTGCGGAGCGGTCCTGGAGCGCTGCGAGCGGGAGCGTCCAGCTGGGACCCGGGGAGGGAATTCTTTGGGAGATGCGCCAATCTTTGAATTTTCGCTGCATTTTGGATGGGAAGTGGCCGTTTCGCTAATTGCTCTTTCCCGCCTCTTGAATGGGGTGAGGGTAAACATTGACGGAGTTGGGCGAGCGGCACGCGAGGTGGGTGGCCGTGGGGAAAAGGGGCGCAGGGCACGCGGGGCCCTGTCCCGGGCACGTTCTCAGGGGGTGAAGGGAAGGTGCCCTGCGATCCCCCACATCTCTGAACCCTGGGCGAGGCGAGGCTCAGCTGAGCTGGGGAGCTGGAGGGGGCTGTGGGGGAGGGGCGGGAGCGCAAAAGTTTCAGCCTCCCCAGGATCAGCTGGGGGTGACCCAAAGTGCCCCTCCCGAAGCCGGGTGACCCCAGCGGTGTCCAGATCGACTGCAGGGTCTCGATCTGCCTCCGAAAACCTCCCGCCTTGTAAGAGGAGTGCTACCGTCCGCACCTCCGGCCCTAACCTAACCCTCTCGGCGGGCGGGTGCGGGCGTGCAGGGGGCAGCGTGCCCTTGGCGGCGTCGTGACCCCAGCAGGGTCTTGCGGTTGAAGGCGCGGCCGGAGCCAGCCGGGCGGCGCCAGGTGAGGCCACCTTCCCGGGACGCACGTGCGTCCGCCCGCCAGGCGCTGTGGCCCGGGAGAGCCGAGCCCGGCCCGGCGGGCCGGAGCCCCCGGGTTCGCAACCGGGTCGCCGTGCGAGCGTCCCACCGAGTGCCTTTGTGTTCTTGCGAGACTGAGTCGGCTGCGACCTGTGTTCCCAGCTGCCCCTTACCTTGCCGGAGTTTGCGTGCGGCGAGGCAAGTAGCCAAAAAGGAGGCGCGCGGGTGCCGCGTCTACTGGGCCCGGCTACGCGGGATTCTGGCGGGGGTTGGGGTGGGGGTTGCAGGCCTCGGATGGGGAGGGAGGCGTTGGACGAGGGGGCTTTGCGGGATGAGAGAAGCCCCTCCCTGCGGGCCACCCGGGCGCACCCGGAGAGAAGTCGCTGTTCCGCTTAGGGTGGAGCCCTTTAAAAGGGCGGAGGAGAAGGCCGCGGGACATCCTTGCATGGCTTCAGGGGGACCCGAACCTCTGAAAAAGAAGAGCGTGATCCCAGACCAGAAAGAATCCCCACTCTAGGACAGAAAGGCTGTCTGTGGGGCAGAAAGGCTGGGAGGCTAGATTCGCCCGGAGAGCCTGGTGAATTTGGAAGGGGTGCAAATGGCAAAGGGTAGGGAGGTCGCTGCCTCCCTGTGGACAGGCTCTGGCCTGGGCATCTGTGGTCATCTGTGGGCGCTGGTCTGCATCTGGTCACCCGCGCTTGAAGAAGGGGAACCAGCTGGGGCCGCCTCCATCCGCCTGGGCTGCTCGACCTTTTCACAGCAAAAGTGCCTCCGAAGTGTCCTGGGGAGCAGAGGAGGTACAAGGCTGGGGCTGGGGTCCCTCCTGCTTCCAGGGTCGGCATGGGCGCTGCCCTTGGAGAACACCCTGAGCCACCTCCCCCAGCAGGAGCTCCTCCAAGCTCACAGGGCTCTAGAGTCTTTATTTTTTTGTCTTTTAGAGAGTTTTTAGATTTACAGAAAAATTGAGAAGGTAGCCCAGAGGATTCCCACATCCTTGCCCCTCACACACAGTTGCCCCGAGTTTTAACGTCTTGTATGAATGTGCCACCTCTGCTACAATTACTGCTCGCTACTGTTAACTGAAGTCCATCCTTGCTCAGATTTCCTCAGTTTCCTTTATCCTCTTTCCGCTCCAGGATTCCGTCCAGGGGGCCTCATTACATTCAGTTGTCGCGTCTCCTTCCCGAGTCTGAACTGGGGTGAATTGCAGTCCTCGGTCCGAGAGTGGTGGCTGCGTTTAGCGGTGGCCTGGCCTTCCTTCCAGGGTGGGGTCGGAGGAGGCAGCACAGGGTCTTTCCGAAGAGCGGCCGGTGCTGGCTGGACGCAGCGGCAGGGCTGCAGCCTCACCGTTGAGTATGGGCCCGCCTTTTCTTTCCTTGTTTTGATTTGTTTCCTGTCTCATCTATTTTAAGGTTCCACATGATTTTTAAAAATTGCGATAAAATAGGCGTAACGCACAATTTATCATGCTAACCATATGTAAGTAGGGTTAAGTACACTCACAGTGTGCAGCCGTCAGCATTATCTGTAGCCAAAACTTTCTATCATCTCTAACAAAGACTGTACCCATTCGACAGTGACCCCCCACCCCAGCTGCTGGTGATCTCGATTCTACTTCCCATCTATGAATCCAGGACCTCATGTAGGTGGAATCATACAGTATGTGTCCTTCTGGGTCTGGCTTATTTCACTAAGCAGAACCTTTTCGAGGCCCACACGTGTGGTAGCGTATATCAAAACTTCATTCCTTTTATTTTTTAGGGTGAAAATATATTTATTATATTTCCATTTCCCTCTTATTATTTCTATCATATAAATGTAGTCTTTTTAAAACAAGTTTAGTGAGATATCTTCGCCATATAAAAATGGTATGATGTAAGATGTCCAACTTGGTTTTTCTATATATGGTGAAAAGATCACTACAATCAAGGGAGGGGAATTGCTGAGTCTCATGGTAGTTCTGTGTTTAGCCTTTTGAGAAACCCCTAAACTCTTGTCGACCACAGCTGGTGCCTACGTTTTATGCCTGTTCTTGCTGAGCTCTTTGAATGAGTGGAGCCCCCGACTCAGAGGGGGTGGCTGAGCAGAATTCCCTGGATGCAACCACATCAGAGCAGACTCCTTGGCACTGTTTGAGGTGAGCTAAACTGACATCTCCACCCCCTCCCTTTGACAGATCCCAGCATGCTTTCCAAGACATCCCAAGCTGAAGAAGGGTGTTCAGAATGCCCCCACCTCTCAGGGGTGCACTCGGGGAAAGGGGGCCTGGAGGAGGAGCCCCCAGAGGACAAGGAAGCCAACGAGTGCCTGTGGATCCGCCCAGATGCCCCCAGCAGGTGCTCCTGGCAGCTGGGAAGCCTGATTGCTGACTCACCGCATCACCATGCTCCCTCGTAAGTCCCTGTTTATGATCCTAAGATGGTCCATCTCTTACCTGGAGGGGAAGAGTTTGTTACCTGGAGGCCACATAGCTAGGTAGACCTGGGGTGTGACCCTCCACATCACCACACTGCCTCGCAAGTCCCTGGTTTATGATCCTGACACGGTCCATCCCTTACCTGCAGGGGAAGAGTTTGTTATATGGAGGCCACACGGCCGGGTGGACTTGGGGTGTGCCCCACTCCTTGTAATCACTCTGGGTGGGTGGTGACCTGGCGCGAGGATCTTTACAGATGAGTTGACCAAGGCCCAGAGAGGCCAGGGCTTGTGTGCCTGTGGCCAGCACCTAGGTCAGCGCCTAAAAAGAGCAGATGCTGAATCAGTAGACGGATGTGCCCAGGTCACACACTTTGAGTGATGAGTAGGGGTGAGATTTCCAATCCAGAGCATCTGGCTGCACGCTCGCGTTTGAGGTGTGTGCTCGTGTTTTCAGTAATTAGCCTCATGCCTGCACTTCTCTACATAACTCTAGGTCGTAACCATTCTCCTGGGCAGGAAATACTTTTCTATGGTGGGCTCTTTTCGTGGTTGCACAGAGACTGTTGGGTGAATAAACTAACTCTTAAGGCATCTGTTGGGCATTTAGATGTTTGCAGTTCTCTCCTTGTGAACTGCAGTAGGAAACGCCACATCTGTTTTGTCGGTGCATCAACGACTTGATTGATCACCTGCCATCGTTGGGCCATGTTCCAGGTGCAGGAGATCGATCGTGGGGAGGCAAAAAAGACACAAATGCCTGATCATCGTGAAACTCAAACCACGCTCGCCAAGTCTTAGGATGATCTTGATTTCCTTAGAATAATCTCCCAGAAGTAGGACGAAGGAGTCAAAGAACATGCCTTTTGGATGTCTGACTCTTACTCCGTATACACTGCTCTGCCGCGTTTACGATCGTTGATTTTAACATCCAGTCTGGGAGCGGGTAGGGGGGTGCGCTCCTCGGTGGGCCCGTAATAGGAATGAAGATCTGCAAATCCAGACGCTCCGAACATTAAATGCCTCCGGGTGCCGGCAGCTCAGGAGGCCCAGTCGGCTGCCAGGCGGGCGGGGTGAGCCGTCACTCCGAAACAAATGGGAGCAGTGGGCAGAAAGCCTGTGGGAGGCTGAGGTGTGGCTGCTGGGGACCGGGCGGGGGGGTAAGAGCCGTGGATCCCCCAGGTTTCACATGAGCTTCTAACCCTCGGGCCTGGGCTGGAAAGACACTATCCTATCCAGGTCATAAATCGTGTTGCATCTACCCTTCACAGAGTGGTGGAATTAGCCCTCTAGAAAGCTCTGCAGGGGTTGCTGTTCCATCTAGGAAGCGCGTGTCCTGGTTCAGGCATACGGTTCTCAGGGAGCTGGGCTCAGGCTCATCTGTGAGGAGGACACTAGACCAAGGTCCCCTGCAGGAGCTGGTCGTAGGGAGCCTGATGGTGGGAGCAGTGACGGGCCTGGCAGCCTGGGGACGGCCTCAGAACTGGTACCTGGAGAGGCGGAAGGCTGCAGCTGTGTGGATATTGGGGGGAGGGAACTCCAGCGAGTTCCGAGGGAGGGTGGGTTTAGAAAGAGGACCGGAGTGGAAGCAGCAGAGAGGAGGGGCTGTGGAGGGGGAGGGCCAGGCAGGGCCCCGTCCCTGGTCAGGAGTTTGGGTTTGTTCTAAGATGCTGTGGGGTCGGCCTCCCGAGGCCTCCTGGGCTGTGAAAGTAATCACAGTGGAGGTAAGCTGACTCCGGGCCCCTCCCTGGTAAGTTCCTTCCTGGGGCTGCTGCCCTGAGCACCTCGGGCCAGCTTCTCAGGTGGCCGCCCCCAAGGCCCGGTGCTCAGTGAAGACCCCAGACTTCTCCATGCCCTGCTCTGCAGCCACCTGCCAGCCCTGGGTTACTGCCCCACAGGTGTCCTGCCGCGGCTTAATCTAGTTGATGAATCAACCCAGGTGTCACGCCGAGGGCCTGGCCTCCCTCCAGGGCTGGGGTCAGGAGCCCTTCGCCCCAGGCCCAGGCTCTCCGTTCCCCCTACCATCCCATCCTGCAGCTCTCTTTGCCAAGCCTGCCTCCAGCGTGCCTTGGGGTGTCCCTTTAGCTCCTCGCTACCTTGGAAGGATGCAGTGGATTCCAGCTCTGCGTGTAGCCACCTATGTGGGCCGAGGGGTGGAATGCAGTGTTCCCTAGCTGCCGCAGGGCCCAGGGGAGCTGGATCACCACCTTAGGGGTTGCGCAAGGAGGCTGCCGGGTTAAGGGGTTAATGGGTTCCTGTGCCGGAGACTGGGGTTCCCTCGAGTTTGAGAACCGCGGAAAGGTAACTGAGAAATCAGGGGGCTGAGAAGCTATGGCCTGTCCTGAAACGCAGGTCAGTTGTGCATCTTCCCAGATGAATGTTTGGTGAGCGCATCCTTGGCACAGACGGGGAGAGAGTGTGGAATTGACAGCGGTCCCTGAGGGTGATGACAGAGGAAACTTCATGGGGGCCATTCAGGAAATGCCCGTGTCACAGTCGCACACACATAAGATGCTGCCCAGCTGCAGCTGTCCCACCCTCACCTGTCACCTGCCCCCAGCTTGTCGGGTGGAGGAACCTGGGGGGAGGGGACTGGTCACTGGAATGTGAGGGAGACGGCCCGTGAGGAGGAAGCCCACTGTGACCCTGGAGGCCCCCCCACCCTGGCTTTGTCCTGACCCTGACCCCAAGGGCCACAGTGACCCCGGGCAGGGTGTTTGTTCACACCGTCCGTGTCCCACCCTTTCCGAGTGAGGCCACGCATCTGGGCGGCTCTCTGCAGCCCCCGTCACTGCCTGGTGACCACACAGTCTGAAGGGTCTCTGCCCTGGGGTTGCCACCAGTTTTTCCATCAAAGAAGTGGGACATCCCAGGGCTTAGGTGCTGACAGCTGAGAGGAATTGGAGGTCACACATGGACGGACCGGGGCCTGTTGTCCTGAAGTCAGTGTTCATTTAGTTTACCTTTTTTTGTTTGGAAATAATTTAACACTCACCAGAAGTTGCAGAAATAATAAGTCCTGTGCCCCGATCACCCAGCTGCCCCCGATAACGTCCTAAGTGACCGCAATGCATTTTCAAACCTGGGGAACAGCGTCGGTGTGGCTGCGTCACCTGAGCTGCAGACGCTGCTCGTTTCCCTAGGTTTCCAGGCGCGCTCCCATGCTCACGCGCACGTGTGTGTGCGAATGTGACTGTGACCTTCCATCCATGTGTAGGTGTGTGTCCTCACCACTCAGCTCCCACATCAAAGCCAGTTCTTTGATTTATTTCTTGATTCATTTGAAACAATGCGCTGGACAGCCAAGGCTGGTCCTGTTTTCATTTGTTATCTGAATAATCATAGATTCCTCCGTTTTAGGACAAAAGCCCCTAAAATCTTGCCAGATATCCTGCAGAACATTGGGGATACCCCCATGGTGAAAATCAATAAGATCCGGAAGAAGTTTGGCCTGAAGTGTGAGCTCCGTGAGTACCGGGATCCTCTGTCCTACCCTTGGCCCAGCAGCGACTCAATGGGCCTGGGTGGCGGGGGCCCCTCAGACCCTCCTGGGGGCAGAGAGGCCAGGAAACAAGCTGGTTAATGAAGGACTGAGACACATCAGGTACGATCCGAAAATGATCCGACAGGGTGACTGAGCTGGCCGCTCTGGGACCAGGTTTCCTGTGAACCGTGCCCAGGATGAAGGAGAGAGCGTTCCAGACCCGGGAGGCGGAGGAGACTGGCCCTACTCAGCTGTGGCAGGAGGGGGACCCCAGACCCGAGGAGCGGCTGTTCCACCTTAGACTTCTCTGGGGAGGATAGACCAGCTCCTGCCGGGCTGTGGGACCACGGGATGGTCTCAGGCATCGGCTGGGCAGAAGTGGTTATCTCTGTTCCCCTCATTTTGTGGGCACAGAGAGGTCATCTGTCACTTATGAGACAAAGAATGGGAATTTGGGGGGGTGTCTGGCCTTGTCCTAGGTGAACAAGGGGGTCACCTGGGAATCTTACCTCAGTCATATGGGGAAGGGGCTTCTTTGCAGGAAGCTGTTTCCGGGAACACAGAGGGTGGGGGGGTTTCTTCACCGACACGGAGCCCCAGTAGACTTCAACTTTGTCACAGAGGAAGTGGCAGGTGAAGAGGCCACAGAGGAGGAGCAGGAGTAGTGGGCTGGGCAAAGTGAGCTGGAGAGGACAGACCAGAAGAGCGTGGGGTGGGCATGAGCAGGCCCTCAGGGTCAGCTTGTTGGGAGTGGCACCACTGGGGGGAGGGCTACGGCCATGATGGCTGGTTCCCCTGGGGCATCATCCTCAGATGATCCCCCCAAACCTCTGGAGAGAGACTCTTCTGAGAAGCAATGAGCAGTCCACACCCCCCGGCACGGCTGGACACGCAGACTGCATGAATGGCCCCAGGAGACCATCCCAGCCCAGGGGCGCCTGCTCTGTGCTATTTATCAGATAGTAGAGACCATTAACTAGTGCCCAGTGGGGTTGGCCTGCTGCATCAGCTTGGCAGTAGCCCCTGAAGTAGGTGTCAGTGTTTCCATTTTACAGATGGACAAACCAAGGCTCAGACAGGTCAGCGCAGATCCCGGCTGCATGCTGGCCTTCCCAGGGGAGAGCCAGAATTGTCTGACTAAGTCTTTCCAGTGTGGGAGCTGGAAAGGTCCTGGGCGTGGGTCCTGCTGAGGGGTCAGGCACTGGGGAGCCCACACACATGTGCACACATGCACACTGTCCCCGCCGGGCCCTCTCCTGCTTCTGGGAGAGAAAGTCTGTCCAGTGGTGGGATTTCAGAAACGAGGACGAACTAGGAGGGAGGTGGTTTTCCTTTGCTGTTGGCCGGCCCTGGGTCCTCCCAGTCTCGTGGGATGCAGTGTCTCCCCCTTTACAAACACGGCATCTTTCTAAGGGATGGGAGGGCATCCTCCCACAAGGAAAGACAGAAGCAAAGGCCTTGGCCCAGGAGAGGATGTCTCGTCGGCCAGGTCGGGGAGAACAGAGAGCCCCGTGTCACTGGGCCTTTGTCCCAGGGGAGGAGGACGATGGGAGGAGGCCTGCAGGGTGTGCAGGTCCCGGTCAGGAGCTGTGATCCAGGGGCCGTGGCTGCAGGACATCAAGTCGTTGGCAGGGCCGTTGGGTACGGCTGGGCCATCTGCCCCGCATTCAGGGGCTCAACTCAGCGGCCCTTTCACGCCAACAAGTCACTGTTGGGACTGGGCTGCCCCTCGGGAGGGGGGTTCTGATCCATCCACCCAGCGGGGGCTCCTTGGGATGCTTCTGTGTCATCCACTCGGAGTTGCCACGTGGTCCAAGGCAGGTGGGATGGGCGGGTGGGAGAGGCTCCGAGGGGCGAGCACCCTCGTGCAGGTGCAGGTGGGAGGTGGCAATGGAGAGGGGACGATTTACAGAACCAGAAAGACCCGGCCTGTCTCTGCCTCCCGGGGGGCGTCAGGTCCTGGGGAGGGAGAGCAGGACCAGTCTGGGCTCATGGCCTCTTCCTCCTCGTGATTCCTCTCTGGCTCCCAGTGGCCAAGTGCGAGTTCTTCAACCCGGGCGGGAGTGTGAAGGACCGCATTGCCGTGAGGATGATCGAGGACGCCGAGCGGGCTGGGATTCTGAAGCCTGGGGACACGATCATCGAGCCGACATCCGGGAACACAGGTGGGTGCTGAACAAGCCAGGAGGTCCCCTGGCCTGGGGTGACCTGCTGCCGCGTGCGCTGGCCTCCTTCCTGGCAGCTTCCTCAGCCCCTGGTGTGCAGGAGCCCGCCTCCCTGCCGTCTTGCCACCCAGGCCTGCGTCGATGATGTTGGGGTCTTCACGAGCAGCTACGCTGGGACTGAAAGTGTGTCTTCGTGTCCCACAGCGGAGGTGGCAACTGCCGCAGCCTGGGGGCTCAGCCAACCAGAGAGACTGGTTCTCTCACGGTTCTGGGGCCTGGAGTCCGCCGTCCAGGTGTCTCCTGAGGCCTCTCCTTGTAGACGCCGTCTTCTCCCTGCGTCCTCACCTGGTCATCCCTCTGTGTGTGTGTGTCCTGGTCTCTTCTTACGAGGACACCAGACATATGGGATTAGGGCCCCCCGTATGATCTCATGTAACCTTGATCGCCTCTTCAAAGACTGTCTCCAGATGCAGTGACACTGGGGTGCTGGGGTTAGGACTCCAGCATATGAATTTGGGGGACACAGTTCTGTCCATAACACTCTGCCGTCTAGCCCCCTGAGTTCCTGTCCTTCTCTCATGCGAAATACACTCACTCCCATCTCAACAGCCCCGAAAGGTCCTACCCCATTCCGGCATCTACTCTAAGTCCACAATCTCATCTAAATCTCATCTCCATCAGAGGGGTGAGACTGGAGGCGCCATTCATCCTGGGTGGAATTCCCCTTGAGGTGGAAACCCGGGAGACAGGACAAGTTATGTGCTTCCAACGTACGGTGGCGGGACAGGCATGATGGACGTTCCCATTTCAGAAGTGAAGGAGCGACAGGTCCCAAGCGAGTGTGGAACCCAGCGGGCGGACTCCATTAGGACTCCAGGCTTGACAGCCATGCTCTTGGGCCCAGCACGCTGTCTCTGGATGGTGGCCCTGACCCCTCTGGAACCAGGGAGGAGGCACCTCGGGCCTGTGCCCTCTGGGCCGTGGTGGGAGTGGCAGCCTTGCTGACATCTAACCCCCTCAGGTTCATTCGGTCTCTCGAAGGATCCTGCATTTTCACAGTGAGCTCCACCGTGTTGGCTCTTATTGCTCTCGTTGTGTGGGTTTCATCATCTCCTGCAGTGCTCAGGACCCGGCCTGGAGCCAGCCACAGCTGGAGGAATTGGAGTCCACCTGCATTCTCCCCTCTGCCTCTCCTCTCTGAGCTCACTCACCTCTTTGTTTCTACCTCCAGCATTCTCTCTCCTCCCCTCACTGGGGGGCAGAAGGGGATGACGTGGGCATTTCTGGGATCTTGCAGGGCCATCTCCCAGGGCCTTCACAGCTGGGGGCAGGGCTGCAGGTGCACGGGGCAGGATCCAGGGGTTCCGTGGTCCCCCTTACCCTGTGTGCTGTCCCCAGGGATCGGGCTGGCCCTGGCTGCCGCTGTGAAGGGTTACCGCTGCATCATCGTGATGCCGGAGAAGATGAGCATGGAGAAGGTAGGCGGGCCGGGCGGTGCCGTCTCCCAGGGACCCCTGCCCCTGAGCAGCAGCCTGGCAGGCGGATGAACGCAGCGGCTTCCTCTGCAGGTGGACGTCCTGCGGGCCCTGGGGGCCAAGATTGTGCGGACGCCCACCAACGCCAGATTCGACTCCCCTGAGTCGCACGTGGGTGTGGCGTGGAGGCTGAAGAACGACATCCCCAATTCTCACATCCTGGACCAGGTGAGGCTCGGGGCCTGGGGGACAATGTGGGCATTACCAGCGGGATCTCTGTCGGCGTTTGGGGGTGGGGCCGCCTCTCCAGGATTGGGGCTGCAGAAGTGACTGGTGCTCAGGCACGTGGGCGCTGGCTTCTCCTGGCCGGGTCAGGTCCTCTGGCATGCAGCTGGCGGGATGGGCTGAGCCCGTGGCTCTCTCTGTCCGTGCCAGCCTCCGCGGGCTCAGTTCAGCATGCTGGCTGGGCCTGCCCTTTGCAGAGGCCCTAAAGCTCTCTACAGGCATAAGATGCATAGAAACCTTTCTACCGGAAGCTCTTCTGTCTCACCCATTTCGCTTCTGGGCTAATTCTGGAATCGCATCTTCTGGAGAGCTGGAGCTGGGTTTAATGCTCTGCACCTGCTGAGGGTCCTGAAACTGCCTGTGCCGTTGGCCCCTCTCCCTGAGCTGCTGGGCCCCCTGCGGCCTGCACTGAGCTGTTTGCCTGCTGTCCTGGGGCTGCTGCCGGGTCAGTGTATTTCACCTCCCTCATGACCTCTTTGCTCTCTTTCCGCACAGTACCGCAACGCCAGCAACCCCCTTGCTCACTACGACACCACTGCTGAGGAGATCCTGCAGCAGTGTGACGGTGTGTATTTCTGTCTTAACCCCTCTGTCCATCTTGCCTGCATCAATCCCTGATTGCCTGGGAGAGCACAAGTCACTTACCCCCTCCTTGGTAAACTCCTAATTCATCCTTCCAAACCCAGCTCCGACGTCCGCTCTCTGGGAAATGCTCTGTAGAACGTTTCCCTAGAGCAGTTTCCTCCCTCTGTTGTGCTCTCTTGGACTTTGCCTGGCCTCTCCTGTAACACCAAACGTACCATTCGGTCGTATTGATTTTCCCAGCAGACTGTCCTGCAGACCCGTGGGACCCCCGAGTGCAGGGTGCGAGGTGGTCCAGGCTGGTGCTGGGCTCGCAGCCAGGGCTTTAGTTACTGAACGGCCCTCGGCGTCAAGCCCCAACCTGGGCGCTGAATTCAGCCTTCGGGTTTTCTCGTCTCCAGAACCGGGGTGGTGACGTCAGCGACTGGCTGACTCTCTGTGTGGACTTGCGTCTCTTGGGAGCCTTTCCTCACCTCGGGTGCCCCGGCCCTCGGGGTCGTGATGTTCTTGGACAGGCTGTTTCCCTGGGAGATTTTAGGCAGAAGTTGCTGGGGTTGGCAACTGTTTGGAGCCTGGTGCTGCCCCGAAGTGCAGGCTCATTCCTCGCCCGGAAGCCAGGCGGCAAAGTCCAGGCATCTGCTGCCCCGGGCTTCATGTGTGAGAATTCCTCCCTTTGGCACAGCCTCTGCCCGGCACAGGTGCCACGCCAACCTGTCTGCAGGAGGCCGAGCTGGCGCCCTGCAATCGGAGAGCAGGATGGTTTCCGAGCCGAGCCCGAGTGCCTGAGTGTGTTTCCCTTGATAATTCAGTGCACTTAATCCCATCGTCCAAAACCGAACAGCCTAAGATGGTGCACAGCGAAGAGCCCGGCTCGTCCCTGAGCCACCTGTGCCCTGTCCCTGTGCCACCACGCCTCTGGACGGGCTCTGTGGATCCATAGCAAACCAGGAGGATTTCGGTGGCTGCATGTCATTGAGAAAAGACTCAGTGCAAGTCACTGGGTCCCTGTCACTGTGAACGCTTTTTAGAGATAAAGGACTGTGATGAGAGGCTGTTGACCTCTGAGAATAGTTTATATTTTGAACTTTTTGGTAACTTGCCTTCATTTTGGTTGAGCATGTTTTCAGTTATTATTAAGAGTGGTGGGCCGGCCAGGTTCCAGCCCGAGAATGTTCTCCCTGATGGGCTCTCCTCCCAACAGGGAAGGTGGACATGCTGGTGATCTCAGCGGGCACGGGCGGCACCATTACGGGCATTGGCAGGAAGCTAAAGGAGAAGTGCCCTGGATGCAGAGTGAGTGAGCGGGGTGGCGGGGGCCGGGGGAGGCACGCGGCCCTGCCCAGGAGAGGCAGGCTGGACGGCCTGCACTGCCCACCTGTGGCTTGAACTGCGGCTGGGGCTCAGTCATCGAGTCCTTGGCGTTGGCCCCCTGAGGGGACTCTGCGTTAGAGCTGAAAGTGCTCGTTCCTGACGTTTCTGCCTAGGCAGCCTCGAGTCCTGTACGGGGTGTGTATCTGCACCTGCCTGGGAGATAAAGGACCCAGTGAACCCCCGACCCAGATTGGGAGAGTGGATTTGAGTGGCCTCCAAGGATCATTCCAGAAGCTCTAAGCTCTTAGGCTCAGGTCCCGCGGCTGCCCACCTGGGGCTTTGAGAGTCGGGGAAGGGCCTGGATTTGAGGCTGAGTGTGGACCTGGGAGGGCTTGTGTCATACCCAGCTCATGTGCTGGGCCCATCTTCTCCCTCTGACGGTTCCTGTGCCGTCCAGGAAGAGCTCAGTGCCAGCACCGCCTCTCGTCCCCACGACTCCGGCTGTCCCCCAGGGTGGTCTCTCGGGGCTGTCCTGGGGTGCCCTGCACAGGAGGAGCTCCCCTGGGGAGCCGCTTCCCCCCCGGCGTCCCCTGAGTGCCCCGAGCTGGACATTTACCTTGTGATCTCGGGCAGATCGTTAACTGGCACCTGTTAGCGGCGGGCTTGGCCGCCCTGATGGTCACCAGGCGCATCCAGGTGCGACTTTTGCCAGACTTGATCCCTCCTCCCACCCACCCTGCAGATCGTCGGGGTGGATCCCGTAGGCTCCATCCTGGCAGAGCCTGAGGAGCTGAACCAGACGGAGCAGACGGCCTACGAGGTGGAGGGCATCGGCTATGACTTCGTCCCCACGGTGCTGGACCGGAAGGTGGGTGGCCGGAGCGCTCCCTCTGCAGGGCGGGTGCGGTGACCAGCCGGCCCTCAGGGCACGCCTGACCACAGGCAGCCGGCCCAGCTTTCCTCCCGAGTGGGAACAGAGAAGTGAGCGCTGTGGCAGCAGGGAGAGGAAGCGTAGTCTGCAAGGTCCAGACTAGGCAGCAGGCAGTGCTGTACTGAGTAGGTGCCATGACGCCGCTCGGCAAAGAGGCCAAGACAGCTGGCGTCAAGGGTGCAGCCCTGTGCACAAGGCAGGCGCTTGCAGAGGGAGGGAGCGCCGGGCAGTGGGGCAGGTGAGCAGGAGGGTGGGGGAAGTAACGACCCAGGACAGGCTCTTTTTAAGGACCCTAAAGGGTGCTTCGGTCTGAGGGACCTACAGCGGACCCTGCAGGGACACCAGGCCGTGCAGTGCAGAGGGGCGCGTGCGGTGGTTTTAGTTGCTGTGTTGCAACAGGGAGAGGTAGAGTTCTGGGTTTGTGTACGTGAGTCCCGGATTCCAGAAGAGGGGCTGTGTCCACGGAAGATTGCGGCTGCCTGGACCAAGGTCGTCTGTGAGGTTGCAAACGTGGGCTGTGGAGCCCCCACCCCCACCGCACAGCTGCCCGAGCCACTCCCGAGCCTGTCCCCTGGGTCCTGCCTGCAGGTGGTGGACAAATGGTTCAAGAGCAATGATGAGGAGTCCTTCACCTTCGCCCGAATGCTGATCTCGCAGGAGGGACTGCTGTGCGGTGAGCGGCAGGCGGGTGGGTTGTGGGGTGGCAACAGGGTGCAGAGAACAGACAGGGTGCTGTCCATCTGCCCTGGCCCTTCATAAGGTTGGCCTGCCTTTCCTCCAGTTCGAGGCTGGGTCACCTGCACTGGTGTGGGCAGGAGGCCATGGGGCAGGGGCATCGAACGCCCCTCCAGTGTGTGGAGGAGAAGGGTCCATATTCCTGGGGTCCCTGGGGTGCACATGCTCTGTTTTTGATGTGTAACACCTTTTCTGGGGAGGGGGGCATGGCACCCAGACCTGAGAGGGAAAGAGCAGGAGATGTGAGGGGGCTGGGGTCTGTGACCTGCTAGCCTGAGAGACGAAGTAGGCTGCTGGGGCCTTGGCCCCCCTGCAGAGCGGGCCCTGGAGCTGGGGGTGAGTGGCGTTGGCCCCGCCTCCCCCCCAGGACTGTCCTGGCAACATGGGCCTCTGTGCGGTGGGTTTTGGGGTGAGGCCAATGCTCTTGGGACACGTTGTTTTCAGTCAAGACCAGCACTGACCTTGGGGTGGGGTCTCCCCATCCGCGGGGGTCCGGGGCTGGACTGGGGTGGGAGAGGCTGGAGGGTGTGGTCACTCGGGCGTCTGAGCCGGAAGGAGACGGGCAATGTGCCCACGCACTCTCCCTCCTCTGGGAGCCCCGAGGCCCGTCCGGGCCCCACAGGGAAGAGGCTCGACCTCGATCCAGGGGACTTGCGTGCAAGAGGATGCACAGCGAATCCGCTTTAAATCTCCGCGGGAATATAGCAGGAGGTCATTTGAGATGTGCCTTTGCTCCGTGTTGTGTCACCTCGGGGGTGGGGACAGAGGAGATGGAAGGAAATCAGCCCTCAGCGTGGCCGGGTCCCTGGACAGCCGAGCCCCAGTTTAGAGATCGGAAACCAGCCCCTGTGATTGGAAAAACCTTTCCAAAAGGATGTTGTCGTGAAAAGGCAACTTTGTTCTTCGTAGTCGTTGCCCGTGTGGTGCTCCTGGTGTGTCCCCGCTTCCCGTCGTCACTGCGCATGGAGCCTGAGCGTGGATGCTGGCAGCAGGCCCGCCTCCACCATTTAGGAGGAAGGGCCCCTTTTCCTGCGGGGCGCACTCTTGGCGGCTCCGTCGCGCCTCCTTAGCGCGGCCCAGAGGGGCTGCGGGCGCACGGCAGAGCACAGTCACTTCTCGGGATCCGTCCCTCTGCCTCTGACCCGGGCTCCTGGGCCGGGGATGGCTGGTCTGCAAAGTGGGGAAGGGCGTCGTCTGCCTGGCGGGCGGCTGTGGGCGGTCAGTGACATGAGGCCGTGCTGGGCTCCCTGGTGCTTGGGTGGGTCTCGCGGCGTTTTCCTGGGGGCACCAGCCCCGCCCTACTGAGCGGCGTCCCGTTGGCTCCAGGGGCTCTGTTTCCTTGGGGAGGGTTTAGTCATGAAATCCTGAGCAGACATGAAACTCAGGGGGACGAGAGGCCCATAGCTGGATGGGGAGGAGCTGGGTCCTCCCAGCACGGAGCCCGGCGCCTCCTCCAGAGGCAGCCACGGCAGCAGGTTCCCCGCGGATCCCTCCAGCACGTGTCCGGGTGTGCAGGTGTGCGTGCAGATGCGTGTGCACACACGCACACTGCAGTCTGACTCACGACCCCCTCGGCAGGTGGCAGTTCGGGCAGTGCCATGGCCGGGGCCGTGAAGGCCGCCCAGGAGCTGCAGGAGGGCCAGCGCTGCGTGGTGATCCTGCCCGACTCGGTTCGCAACTACATGTGAGCCTCCCTCCTGCGCCGTCCTCGGAGCTGTCGCTGCTCCCTCTGTGCTCCCTGAGATCCGACAGCAAGAAGGAGGGCGGGGTGGGGGTCCGCGGGTCTGGGAGCTCTGCTTTTCCCTCCGGGCCCCTCCAGGCTGGGGCGCTCATTTCTTCATCCAACCTTGTCCCCTTGGGTCTAAGATCCGCATTTCAAAGGCAGCTCACGTTCGCGGTGGCAGCGGGCACGTGCCTGGTGGAGCCCCGTGTGCAGGCGGCTCTGCTTCCATCGCAGCCCCGAGCCCCCCTGCCCTGAGAGCCACAGCCGAGGGAGGGGGAGGGGGCGCCACCCTAAGCGCGCCTCCTTGCCACCCCTACTCGCTCGGTGGTTTCCCCTGCACCGGCGAGGAGGGCCCAGCGGGGGTTTCGGCGACCCCTCAGAACCTGCTGTGACATGTGTGTGCCCGGCGTCTGAGGCCCTTCGCGTCTGCCGGTGCCGAGCGCTGTGCGCTTCAGGTCCAAACTCGCTGGAGCGCAGGTTGTGCTCCTCATGTGGCAGCTCACAGCCTCCTGCCGTGAATTCCTGTCCCCTGGGTGAGGGCCCTGCCTGGGGTTACCGGCTGAAACTGAGCGACTCTAGCTCTGCAGAAGGCCTCGGGGCAGTAGGGGCCAGGACCTAAAGGCCTACTCCCGCCTGCCCTCCCCGCCCCCCGGGGCTGCCTCCTGCCTGCACCAGCTGCAGGGCTGCGTGTCTCCAGGGACCTCGGTGGTGGGGTCCAAGTTGGGTTCCCAAGGGTGGAGGCATTCACATCTGGGTGCCCATCGCCAGGCTGCCCTGAGCTAGGTTCCTGCCTACCCTGCTCAGTGCGTGAGAATGCCCATTTCCCCTTTTGCTCAGCTGGCCTGCTGTGCATGCACACGTGTGTGTGAGAGAGTGAGTGAGTAACAAAGTGTGGGTATGAGTGTGGTTTGTATGTGAGATGGAATGAGTGTATGTGAGAGATATAGAGTGTGAGTGAGAGATAGAGTAGGGGTGTGCATGGGAGATGGAATGAGTGTGTGAGATGGAGAGTGGGTGTGAGAGATGGAATGAGTGTGTGTCAGAGTTGGAATGAGTGTGAGAGATGGAGTGTGTGTAAGAGATGGAATGAGTGTGTGAGAGTTGGAATGTGTGAGAGATGGAGTGTGTGTGTGAGAGATGGAGAGTGTGTGTGAGAGATGGAATGAGTGTGAGAGATGGAATGAGTGTGTGAGAGTTGGAATGACTGAGAGATGGAGTGTGTTTGTGAGAGATGGAATGAGTGTGTGAGATGGAGAGTGTATGAGATGGCGTGGGTGTGAGAGATGGAGTGTGCATGGGAGATGGAGTATGTCTGGGATGGAGTGGCTGTGAGAGATGGAGTGAGTATGAGAGATGGAGTGTGTGAGATTGAGAGTGTGTTTCTGAGATGGAGTGGGTGTGTGAGATGGAATGAGTATTTGAGAGATGGAATGAGTGTGTGAGATGGAATGAGTATGTGAGATGGAATGAGTGTGTGACATGGAGAGTGTGTAAGATGGAGAGTGTGACAGAGAGGGAGTGGGTGTGAGAGATGGAATGAGTGTGTGAGAGATGCAATGAGTGTGTGAGATGGAAGGAGTGTGTGAGATGGAGAGTGCATAAGATGGAGAGTGTGAGATGGAGTGTGTGTGAGATGGAGTGAGTGTGAGAGATGGAGTAAGTGATGGAGAGTGCAAGAGAGATGGAGATTGTGTGAGAGATGGAGTGTGTGCATGAGAGATGGAGAGTGTGTGAGACATGGAGTGGGTGTGTGAGATGGCGTGTGTGTTCGTGAATGACTGTGTGCTCACTCAGCATGTCTTGGTGGTGGGTTCTCTGCTCCCTACTCCCTTGGTCCTCGGTTTACCCTGTTAGGGTAGGGCCATGGCAGTCCCCTGGCCTGCTCTGGTGTCCTTTGACCCCAGGTGGCACAGGCTCCGTCTGCCAGAGTGGACTCGAGCGGGGCTGGGGCAGAGGCCCAGGGAGCCCCGGGGGGCCTGATGGCAAAGGTCCCTGGACAGAACCTTCAGTGCTCTGAGCCATCCAGCTGCAGGCCTGTGTGCCCTGGCTGACCAGGTGCCCCATCGACCCACGGGTCCCAGCTGGGGTCTCTCTGGAGTCTGGCTCCCAGGCCTCTCCCTGGAGCCCCAGCCAGCTGCTTGGGGTCTCTGCTGGACCTGCGGGGTCCGGGGAGGAGTGCTGGGCTTCCCCTGAGAACAGTGTGCCCTCGGCCTGGGCAGAGGTGGTGGTGAGACCCTCTGTCTGGGTCCTGGTGGCCCCGGCACCTGTAGGTCCAAGTTCCTGAGCGACAAGTGGATGCTGCAGAAGGGCTTCCTGAAGGAGGAAGATGTCCCGACGAAGAAGCCATGGTGAGCACGCCTCTGAGCAGAGGTTCCACCCTGGAAACACCTGTGGTGTTTGCAGACACGCGTCCCTGGGACCTGGGGACCCTGTGCTGCGCCCCACACCTGACGGGTCATCCCCGCGGTCCCCCTCTGTGATGCTGCCTGTGTGTGTGAGTGTGTTTGTCCCTGACTCCCGCCCCCCAGTTCATGGCCCTCCCTGCCCTGCCCGCTTCCCTCAGGTGGTGGCACCTCAGAGTCCAGGAGCTGAGTCTGCAGGCTCCGCTGACGGTGCTGCCCACGGTCACCTGTGAGCACACCATGGAGATTCTCCACGAGAAGGGCTTCGACCAGGCACCCGTGGTCGATGAATCGGGGTCAGTGTTGGGCACCGCCATCCGAGCTCTGCCCACTGGGCTCTGCTGGGACCTGGGCTCCACGCTCCTCTGTGTCAGCGATGCTGGGCAGGGCAGCCATGTGGACCCCACAGCTGCCTGGCTGACCCTGGTCACTTTGCATCAGGATGTCCTTGCATGAGACCGCCTATTGGATGTCTTGTCCCTGGGCACTGGCGGGGCGGGGGGCCTGCCGTAGTGACCCGTAGGGCTTATGCCCCTGTGCCGGCCTGCTGCACTCGCTGTGTGCATGCAGGACGCAGGCGGTAGATAGTGGCTTCACTCTGAGGCTGTCAACACAGGAAGGCCTGCCTGGGAGACCACCATGTGGGTTCCCTGGGACCGTCCCTGTTCTAGCCCTGAAAGTCCCGTGTCCCAGGACACCGGTGGGCTGGTCACCCTTGACATCTGTCAGAAGGGAAATACCCGAAGGACTCAGTTTACTGTCTCCACACACTGGGGGCAGCTCCAGGGGCAGGCGTTGGTCCCCGCGGTGCTCCCGCCGCATGGAGGCGCTCTGCAGATACTTGCTGAATTCTCAGAGGAGTTAGTTCCGAGTTTGGCCAAAGACCTTGCTTGGACGCGGAACGTGGCTGTGGGTGTGTTCTGCTGTTTGGGGAGAGGCCCCTTCAGTGACCGCTGCCCCCTGCCCTCTGCCCCCCGGCCCCCTGCTGCAGGGTGATCCTGGGGATGGTGACTCTTGGGAACATGCTGTCGTCCCTGCTCGCTGGGAAGATTCGGCCATCGGACGAGGTCCGCAAAATCATCTACAAGCAGTTCCAACAGGTACGGGCTCCGTTCCGCTCGAGCCGTGGGTGCCTGAGATCCGGCTCTGTCCTCGAAGGCACGGCGCAGTGCTTCCCATGCGAGGGGGCCGTGTCCCCAGCCTTCAGCACCATGTGGGGTGTCAGCAGGCTGATGCTGGCTACACCTCCATCAAACCCATAAATCTGAGGACCCACCCCCACTTTGCAAATGGAGGCGCCCAGGTCGGGAGGGGCTCTCATGGGGGGGCTCACCAGCATCCACTGTGTTTCTGCAATCCCTGGGGGTCATTAGCAAACCCAGCCCGGGGACCATCCTCTCAGCCATGTGGGGCATCAGCCAGCGTGATTGTTTCCATAACGTTTGGCCCTAATTTTTCCAGGGCATGCGTTCATTTAAGAATACCTGGCATGCCTAATTATTTAGTAAGAACGAGAATGTTCCGGAAATACTGGTGTCACCCCTTGCTGTGTCAGGGCTGGTCAGACCACCTGGTCATCCTGAGACAATGGTGGCCACCCTCTGATGGGCCTGAGCAGAACCACCTGGACGCTGCTCTTGGTGTCCCTGAGGGTGGGGGAGTCAGGACACTCTCCCAGTGGCACCTGACATTTCATAACCATATTCCCCTCCCACCTGCCAGTGAGCAGCATTGGCAGCTTGTTGGCTGTTTGGGGTGTTTTAGGTCTTATTTTGGCTTTGTGTGTGTGTGTGTGTGAGGAAGACTGTCACTGAGCTAACATCTGTGCCATCTTCCTCTCTTTTGTATGTGGGGTGCCACCACAGCATGGCTGATGAGCAGTGTGCAGGTCTGTGCCCGGGATCTGAACCTGTGAACCCCGGGCCGCTCAAACAGAGTGTGTGAACTAAGCACTTGGCCACTGGGCCAGGCCCTTGTTGGCTGTTTCATATCAGGAAGGCTAAGGAGTTGAGCCCAAATCTGGGAAGGAATTTGGTTTTCCTCATTCCCCGTCACACCCACAGCTGACATGTCACCAGAATCCATGTATTTCTCACCATCTCCACCCCCGCTGCCCTTGCCTCTCGCGTGGTCCCTGCAGACCCCTCACCCCTTCTCCTCCAGCTCCTGCAGCTGGAGAGACCACAGAAGACAGGGGCGGGTCCTGCTCTCCCGGCCCTGGCAGCCCCCTGGGAGAGGCCCTCGGCCTCTCCTGATTTGGACATGAATGTACACCCACGAAGCCATCACCACATTCAAGAGTGAACGTCTCCGTGGCCCCAAAGGCTTCCTCGTGCCCCTTGAGCCTCCGCCCCTCCCTGACCCCATCCCTGGGCACACTCATGTGCTTCCTGTCACGGTAGACGGTGTCTGCACACAGCCCTACGTGTGGACCCCTTGCCTGGCTTCTTGCACGCAGCACAGTGTTGAGACCCATCTACAGCGAGGCGTGCACACTGTCCCTTCCTTTCCGTGGCAGAGTCTGGTTCCCTTGTGTCTCTGGCCTTCGTGTTGATTCTCCACCGTGTGTGCCTGGCCCCTCCCTCAGGGAAGGCCTGAGCCTGCGCTCCTGCATCCCGCATCCCGGGACCAGGCCTCCTCTGGCTCCGCTGCCCCTCTCTGCCGGGATAGGTCTCTGCTCTGGTGGGCGCTGCGATTTTCTGTTTTGTTTTCAAGCTGGCAGAGCTGAAGGCCAAAGGGCAGAGCTGGCGGCCACAGCTGACGCCCAAGTCTGTGTTTTGCTACCTGCATCAGAGGCCAAGTCACACCTCCAGGGACACCTTCCTCCAGGGCATAGCCAAGCCCCTAGGCCCCGCTGGGCTCCGGTGTTGTCAAGACCCCGGGCTCTCAACACAGGGTCTTCCATGTCCTGTCACTGAGATGCTAGGCCAAACGTGTCAGGGGCCATGCTGTGCCTGCTCTGCTCTGGGCACTGAGGGGCCGGTGCGGATGGAGGAGACAGATGTCCTTCAGCGGGGAACCCAGGCTTCCCTGTTCCAGATCTTGCCCGCAGGAGAATTGGGCACCACCATATAAACTCGGGTGGGTCCCGTCTCATGGGCACACCCACCCTGCTCAGGCTGGGCCCTTCCTGCCGCCCCCTTGGGGTCTGGTCGCCCAGCAGTGGGAGGCGTAAGGAGGTCCCCAGGAGCCGTGGCTCTCCTCACCCCGTGTTTCTCCCAGGGGCAGGAAAAATCTAGACTCCTGTGGTCTTCTGACCCCATCCAGCATCTGATGTAATAAAAGCGAGCGTTGGGGGGAAGCTGGTCTCCAGAGACTGAGGCCGTTGTGTGCGGGCTCAATGGCCCTCTGACTCCCAAATGTGTCATCACACTGTGTAAAGCCTGCTGACCTTTCACCCAGCCCTGTAGTGCATGGCTTTGTATGGAGACATCGCCCCCGTCGCCACGGTTGAGATGGGAAGGGCGCCCAGTCAGGTTCCAGGGCTAACTGTGCTTGGAAGTCACCTTGGGGGTTGTGCAGCCACGTCTGATGGGCAGCCCTCACCGCCCCCAGGAGGGGGTCATCCAGCCCTTGACCCTCCCCAGGGAACTGAAGCAGGGAAGGCCACGGGGCGGAGGACTCTCCAGGTCCAGGGACAGGAAACAGGTGACCTGACACGGTTGTTAACACCAGGTGTGGCCTAGGGCTTCACTGCCCGTGCCCTCCGTCTGTAAATACCTGTCTAAGGACCTTGAACTGTGGCCAGTGGTGAGAGCGGGTGGGGTCCCAGGCTGCCCAGGTCTGCCGGTGTCCATCCCCTTCACAGTGCTGGGTGGGGAGTGGAAAGCTCGTTCCATTTCCTCTGTCCCCGCCTACTGCTTTCTTTGCCCTTTGCATCACTCCAAACCAGAAAGATCTCTGGAAATGAATTATGGCCTCAGACGACTTCGACTTGCAGAGATGTCACCTTAAGCCTGATTGAAGGTTTAAGAGGAGGGGATGGTTTCTGTCCTCACCTGAACCTACTGCCGCCTGTGCTCTGACATGTGAAATGCCGGGAGTGAGACGAACACCCTCCCGAGGGCAGGGAGGCTGGAACCGGGGCGGCCTCCTCAGACTTATTTCTCGAAGATGGAGACACAGACTGGGGGCGCGTCGGCCTCTCCCCAGTAGCAGACATCCTCCCTCTGGGCATCTGGTCACTGTGACTTCCACTTCCATGCAGTTGGGCCGAGAGAGGGGCCCTGGGGTCAATCCCCTCCCTGCTGCCCACATCCCCAGGGTCTTTCCTGAGTGTGAGCTGGGCCAGGCACTGCAGGCTGGGCGCTGGGATGTTGGGGGAGGAAGGGGTCTGGCAGCCTTTCCCAAGGGGATGGCCACACGTATCCCCACCAGACCCAGTGGAAGGATCAGGGCCTCTGGGTCAGTTGGTGGTGACTTGTAGGCTTGTGTTCAGTTTCTAAATCAGCAAGAGAACCTTCTGGAACAATGCCCACCCTCTCCTGTTGCCTAGCTGGGCTCCCCTGGTGAGCGCTGACCATGGCTTCTCTTCCAGATTGTCCTGACTGACACGCTGGGCAAGCTCTCGCACATCCTGGAGGTGGACCACTTCGCCCTGGTGGTCCACGAGCAGATCCAGTGTAAGTGGGACCAGGGGGTGGACAGCGGCCTCCTCAGCGCCCCTCTGTAGGCCAGGGGTGCTGTCCTGGTTCTGGGAAGGACGAGGCTCGTAGGAATCAGGAGAACTGGGAGGGTCCTGGGGCAGCCCGCATCCAGCCCCTCCCTGGTCCTTGGCTCCACAGCGCGGGGCCAGGGCTGGTCAGGAGTTGGGGGGGCTGCGGGTATGTACACCCCACCACCCGCCCCTTGTGCATGGCTGCAGTCAGAATGTAGCCCCCGAGAGCACAGGAGGGCATGCCTCCAGTGTCCCAGGACCCCCAGCCTGGGTGGGAGGGTTCTTCCTCTTTGTCTCGCATTTACTTGTATTTGAACATCTCCAAGAAAAATGACAGGTTCTCGTCTCACAGTCCAGAAATCAAGTCTCCTGGGACACAGCCGTGCTTGATTTCGCTGTCCAGGCTGCTTGCCCACCATGTTGGCAGAGCCGAGTGGTCCTGAGACTGCACGGCCCTCTGCAGAAAGTCTGCCCACCCAGGCTCTGGACGGGTCTCCCGAGGGGTTGGCAGGGCCAGGTTCCGGGGCTGCTGCACACGGCCCTCCCCGCGGGGACGAGCAGCAAGGAAGTGGCCTGCCCGGGCTTCTCCACAGCCGCCCCCTGCCCGAAAGTCCCTGAAGTGCGGGTGGCTGGTCTCTTCTGTGTCCCCTTGTTTTTCCCGAAATGCTCCGAGTAGGCCGGTGGGATGCCCAGCCTCCCCCCATCCCCACCTGTGCAACCTCTGCCCCCAAAGGCATGAGGGACAGATGGCCCCGGAGGTGCTGGCAAAGGGGGTCGGACGGAATGGGATGCGACCCCGCATTTCCCACTCGCTCTGGCCCTCTGGGTGCTTCCTGACAACTATGCGTCAGGGCTCTCCCGAGAAACAGAACTGATGCGATGTGTGTATCCAGAGAAAGAGACCCATGGTAGGGACCTGGCTTCCAGGATTAGGCTGGCAAGTGCCACGGTCTGCAGGCTGAGTGGGCAGCTCGAGCTGAGGAAGTACCAGTGCTTCGGTTCGAGTCCAAAGCAGGAAAAGTTCCCTCTGCTCGGGGAGGGTCGGCCTTTTTGTTCCATTGGGGCCTTCACCTGATTGCATGTGGCCCCCCCACACACTGGTGGGGGGTTGGCCTCTTTACTCAGTCTACCCGATCAATGTGGATCTCGTGCAAAGACACCCAGAATACGTCTGACCAAGTATCTGGGCCCTCCGTGGCCCAGTCAAGGTGACACATAAAATTAACCATCCCCCGACCCTCTCTGCCCATGGGCTGCATGGGGTGGGGCCCGGGGGCCGGCATTCGTTTTGAGCCTGAGAACCAGGCGTGGGTGGAGTCAGAATCCTAGGCCAGAGATGGGAGCTGATGCAGGTCACGGATGTGGGCAGGGCTGGAGCTTCCTGCCTAGACTCGAGCCCTGGGCACCGAGGAAGAGCCGTACGCGGTTTGGAATCGATGAGGCCTCGGCGGGCGTCTGCTGGTGGGTGTGGCTCAGAGAGGCAGGAGGCTGCTCTGGGTGGCTCTGCCCAGACAGCTCGAGTCAGGAGAGGGCGGCATTCATCCTTGGCTGCCCTGGGTGCCACACTCGGGCAGGCTCAGGCCGGGACTCGGGAGCCCTCCCTGCCTGGGCCGGGCCCCCAGGCAGCAGTCTGGGCTCAGCCTCTGGCAGTGGAGGTGGGTGGGGGGACTCCATCAGCTCCATACACGGGCGCCTCTAAACCTGCCCCTGTTCCCTCCTCAGACCACAGCAACGGGAAGTCCAGTAAGAGGCAGGCAGTGTTCGGGGTGGTCACTTCCATTGACCTGCTAAATTTCGTGGCTGCCCGGGAGCGGGACGAGAAGACCAAGTCAGGAAGTGCCCTGGAACCCTGAGCTGCGGGGGCAGCGGCCCAGCCCTGACACCCACCCACTGTCGGCTCAGGGTCCAGGCTCTCTTGCTTTTCGTCAACACTAAACAAACAGATGTGCGATTTCTCCCCACCTGGCGCTGGGCATCGCTCTAGCGTGACAGGTATCGAGTAGCCGGGGCCAGCTCAAGTGTTAGTCTCCCTTTAGTAACATCTGGCTACCTGAATGAATGTATTTATGGTTTGTTAGATCAAACGTGCTTTTCTTTAACTTTCTCTTACAATGTTTCAACAAGGAAATCTCATTAAAAGAGAACTCAGCCAGGTGGACAAAACCCGGGCAGGGAATGGGCAGCGTGGATGAGACGGGGAGGATGCGAGCCCTCTGTTTTCCTTATGGTTTTATCTCTAAAAAGTCTTTAAACCACTGAGCATCTTCCCTAAGCCATTTACAGCCTACTCGTCAGCTCTCAGCCACAATGATTCGATCCCGCCCTGCCAGGCCCACCCACAGAGAAGCCCACGGCACATGCCCTGGAATTTCCTTGTTTCCTTTCAGCACATCAGAGGTCCTCAGATATACAACCAGCAAACGGTCCTCCCATTTAAAAAAAGCTAGCCAAGTGGAGTGAGACACATTGTATTAAAAAGTATTGTGTTGAGGTCATATTGGCTTGTAACATTGTGTAATTTCGGGTGTACGTTATTATATATATATTTGCCGCCAATAGTCTACTTTTTAGCTCTCACCTACACATGTGCCCCTGCACCCCTTTCACCCTCTCCACCCCCTTCCCCTCTGGTCACCACTAATCTGTTCTCTTTGTCCATGTGCGAGTTTATCTTCCACATGTGAGTGAAATCATACGGTGTTTGTCTTTCTCTGTCTGATTTGTTTTGCTTAACATATGTCCTCAAAGTCCATCCATGTTGTTGCAGATGGCACATTTGTTTAGTTTTTTATGGCTGAGTAGTATTCCATTGTATATATACACCACATCTTCTTTATCCATTCATCAGTCACTGGGCCCTTGGGTTGCTTCCACATCTTGGCTATTGTAAATAGTGCTGCAGTGAACATAGGGGTGCATAAATCCTTTTGAGTTATTGATTTCATGCTCTTTGGATAAATGCCCAGTAGTGGGATAGCTGGATTGTGTGGTAGTTCTATTTTAATTTTTTGAGAAATGTCCATACTGTTTTCCAGAGTGGCTGCACCAGTTTGCATTCCCACCAGCATTGTAAGAGGATTTCCTTCTCTCCACATCCTCTCCAACACTTGTTATTTCTTGTCTTGTTAATTACAGCTATTCTGATGGATATGAGGTGATATCGCAATGTAATTTGTTTTTTTTTTAAAGATTGGCACCTGAGCTAACATCTGTTGCTAATTTCCTTTTTTCTTCTTCTTCTCCCCAAAGCCCCCCAGGACATCGTTGTATATTCTGGTTGTAGATCCTTTATGGTTGTGCTCTGTGGGACGCCGCCTCAGCATGGACTGATGAGCGGTGCTAGGTCCATGCCCAGGATCCAAACCAGCGAACCCCTGGGCTTCCAAAGCAGAGCACGCGAACTTAACCACTCGGCCACGGGGCTGGCCTGTCTCATTGTAGTTTTGATTTGCATTTACCTAATAATTAGTGATGCTGAACATCTTTTCATGTGCCTGTTGGCCACCTGTATATCTTCTTTCAAAAAATATTCGTTCATATCCTCTGCCCACTTTTTGATTGGAGTCATTTTGTTGTTGTTGAATTATATGAGTTCTTTGTCTATTTTGGAAATTAACTTTTGTTGGACATATAATTTGCAAATATTTTTCTCCCAGTTGGTGGGTTGTCTTTTTATTTTGTTCCTAGTTTCCTTATTCTGATGTGTCCCATTTGTTTATTTTTTCTTGTTTCTCTTGCCTGTGTAAACATATTGTTTGAAAATATGCTGCTAAGACCAGTGTTGAAGAGCGCACTGCCTATATTTTCTTCCAGGAGTTTTATGGTTTCAGGTCTTACGTTCAAGTCTTTAATCCATTTTGAGTTAATTTTTGCATGTGGCAAAAGGTAATGGTCTACTTTCATTCTTTTGCTTGTGGCTGTCCAGTTTTCCCAACACCATTTATTGAAGAGACTTTCCTTTCTCCATTGTATGTTCTTGGCTACCATCAGACTGTGCTAAGAGCTGCGAAGAGAATGAATGAACACTTGGAGGGCAGGTGGGCGTGGGAGGAGGGCCTCAGCAGCTAGGATGAGCAGGGAAGGCCACTTGGGGTCATGATATTTGAGCTGAGACCTCACAGATGGAAAGAGTTGGGAATGAACAATCCAGGTGGAGGAGATGGTGAGTGCAGAGGTCGAGAGGGGGAAGGGGGGGGGGGGGGGGGAGCGGGCAAGCTGAGGCTGGCTGAGTGTGGGGAGCTGCTCCTGTCCCTGCCAGGTCAGGTGGGCTGGGACACCCACATTGGATATCATTCTAAAATAAACAGGTGCCACTGGGGAGTTTGAACCTGAGAGAAGAGAAGTGAGACCTGACTCATGTTTGTAAAAGTCTCAGAGTATGTCGTTGGCACCTATTGATTTTAGAATGACACCCAGTCTCACACAAACTTTACACAAATGTTCACAGCAGCATCATTCACAATAGCCAAAAGGTGGAAACAAACCAAAGTCCGTCACTGAAAGAGTAGACAAACAAAATGTGCTCTAATACAGTGGACTGGTATTCAGCTATGGAAAGGAAGGAGATTCTGTTACATGCTACACCATGGATGAATCTTGAAAACAATAGGCTAAGTGAAATAACCCAGATGCAAAGGACCACATATTGTACTATTCCATTTATATGAAATGTCCAGAATAGGTAAATCCACAGAGACAGGAAGTAGAGGAGTGGTTGCCTAGGGCTTGGGGGGCGGGGGGAGAGGGGAGCAAGGAGTGACTGCTCATGGATATAGGATTTCTCTTTGGGGTGAAGAAAATGGTCTGGAATTTGACAGTGATGATGTACGATTCTGAATACTTTTAAAACCTTTTGTTTGTACACTTGAAAAAAGTGAACTTTATGGTAGGTGAATTATATCTCAATAAGGCTGTCTTTTAAAAAAGTAGAGCTTGGAGGGTTGGGGGTGGGCAGCAGCGGGGTAC